CACTGGGGTGCATTAGGAAGCCTGAAGACAAGGTAAGCAGGAGGGCCAGCCACTGCTCCACTCAGGCTTCCAGAGGCTCTGTCTTCTGTCAGTAGGAAGCTCACTCTCTGTAGAGCTTCTCAAGGGATCAGAAGAAAGGGGCCACAGGCCTGGCACCTGTGTGCCCCGTGGTTCATGAATTTGTTTATTGGGAAAACATTCACCAAGGGCTTCCTGTGCACTAAACATCACTACCAAGAGAGAGACCGAACAGTGGCTTAAAAGATAGACAAGGGAGAACGGCCTTGACCGTGAAGCTAGGGGTTAGGGGCACTGGTCAGGGATGGGCTCCAGAGGGTGGTGTGTTGTGAAGGATGGCTTTAGATTGGTGTATAAAGGACTTTTAGTGTCAGCTTAGACACACACACTAAGACTCACACAGGCCTCCTCAGGTCGGGGCTCTCAGCGGGGTTCCTTAGGCCCAGTCGAGGTTCCTGCTCCTCCCTCCAGCTCTGCAGAGGCTCTGAGGGGATGCTCAGACAGGGCCCTGGCCCTGACTCATACCCCGCCTCCAAAGGACGCTCCACCTGCACGTAATTAGAGGTTGTCTCCAATCACTTTGAACTGCATGGCAGTCAGACAGCTCAGCTGGGGGAGCAGCCTGGCGGCCTCTCAGCTCTGGAGGGAGGATGGGCCTGCCCACCAGACACCGGGTAACCAGGAACCCTTGCGGGCAGAGCAGGCAGTAGGGGCAGGCAGGGTCAGGCAGGACCTGGCAGGAAGCCAAACCCATGAACCCTTCCTCCTTACCTCCATCTTGACTCCTAGCCTCCTCCTGGGGTTTGCTGGGTGGGGCCACACTCATAGTGTTGTTTAAAAAAAAAAAAAAGAAAGAAAGACAAGAAAGGAAAAAAGAAAAGGAAAGCAAAAAGGAAAAGAAAAAAGGATCACTAACAGGCTTGATAGAGAAGAATGAGCTGACCGAATCATGGTCCTATGAGAAGCCAGGTTCAGGCAAAATGGGCGTGGCTGGTTCAGAGTGTCTCTGGAATGCAGATCTGGGCACTCAGACGCCCAGTCAACAAAGTCACATGGCAGTTCCCTAGAGCCCAGGAATCCCTTTGTCTTTGAAAGGAGCTGGGTCTATTGAACCCTGCCTGCCCCAGGGCCTTGGGACCAGGCAGCCAAAGAGAGTGTGCAGGGTTGTTAGAAGTCTGCAGGAGGTGAAGCTGGGCCCAAGGCATTTGGGAACATCTGGGGGGCGGGAGGGGAGCAATCACAATGACCACAGTGACTTTTGTCATCCAGAGTGTGTATCTCCCAAGCAGCTCCCCTTCCTCACGTCCCTGTTTCCACTTGAGGTCAGGAAAGTAATGAGACCTAGCCTACCTGCCCTTAGATGATGAGGAGTGAACAAGGCTCCCAGAAGGACAGAGAAGAATGGAAGAGAATCTGAAAACCCAAAACACACTCCAACACTTAATATCGACCTGTCACTGGCCCCACTGGGAGCATAGCCGTGCAGGTAGCTTCTCAGCCTACCTTAGAGCTGGGTCCTTGCAATACCCTTCAGGAGCACTGGGGGGGGGGGGGTCACAAGCTTCCTCTGACCCCCCACACCCAGTCTAGCAGAATCCCCTGGAGGTGGTGGAGGAGTGTGCTCATATAGCATAACTTCTCTGTGAGAGTTTCCTTGGTACTGCTGATGTCACATAAGGACCCATGCCCATGGCACATCAAACACATATACAAACTAGCACACGTGTGCACTCAACCATATCTTGCTGGGCACAGGTAACTCTTACACACATGCACTCACATGTACACACAGGCAGATAGATGCCTTCTTTGGAGCCAGTTCCATCACCATCTGAGGCCAGCGGGGCAGGCCAAGATGTTATTACCGGGGTGGTAGTGGTTGTTATAAAGGTCTTAGAAAAAGCTGGGCGGGGGGAGGGAACAACATCAAACAGAGGCTAGCAGCCTCAGATAGCAGAGGCGACGGGCCCTTTGGGGCCCTTTCCAGTGCAGACCTGCCTCCTCGTTTGCAAAAATGACTTATTATTAATCTGTGATTGAAACTGTAATTATGCCATCACCCGGTCAACAAGCTGGAACATGGTGCAGGCTGGCAGGACTGCAGGGAAGTGTGTTCTTCCCCTTGACTGGGACCAGGCTGGCACCTTCCCCAGCGTGTGTATGCGAATGGGGTGGTGTGCCTGTCTGTAATCTCAGGCCCACCCCCCTTGCTGGGCACTGGCTCTGGTTGTGCAGATGGGTGTCACTGTGTGCCTCTCACCAAAGTCTGCCTGGGAGGTGTGGTTATGGGATGTTCCTAAACAGACAGCAGTCTTTTCAGAGCCCCAGCCCAAAGGGAACAGAGGAAAAGAGGCTTTCTGGAATGATAGTCTTCCCAGCATGCCCTAAGCAATGGGCCCTTCCCCATCATCCTCAATGGACACAGCTAGCCTGTTCCTGTATCCAGGTCCCCTAAGGGTTGGCTGGTTCCCAGCTTCGTAGCAAATCCTCTATTGACTACTTATCACACACCAGATCTAACACAAAATGCTTCTTGTTCATGATGTTATTTAATCTTAGCTGATTTTCTTTTCATATGTATGGGTGTTTTGCCTGCATGACATCTGTGCACTACATGCAAGCAGTGCCCAGAGAGGCCAGAAGAGGGCATTAGGTAGTCTGAAACTAGAGTTAACAGATGTTTGTAATTCCCCCATGTGGGAGCTGGGAATTGAACCTGGGTCCTCTGGAAAAACAGACAATGCTTTTAACTGTTTAGCCAGCTCTCTCGCCTCTTATTTAATCTTTGTAAACCACTTAGATCCAACATGAAGTAAAAGATCTGAGCTAGCATCATGAATAAGGCAGCTGTAGTAGGTGGAGTTAGATACTCTATCTGGAACTCAGAGGGGGCTTTTGAAGCTAGGTATGCCCATAGACTGCCTGCCTCTACCTGCCCTGCAGCCAGCTTCCGGTGGAGTTTTAGCATGCCACCCTTAGCCTTTTTCATTTATCTGTGCCTTCTCTAACAAATGCTGCTGCAGGATGGGATGATCTTGATTCTAACCTCCTAGCTTCTACCCTGGATCAAGATGCCAGTCAGACGCCGGGCTGTGGTGGCACACACCTTTAATCCCAGCACTCGGGAGGCAGAGGCAGGCAGATCTCTGTGAGTTCAGAGGCCAGCCTGGTCTACAGAGCAAGTTTCAGGACAGGACAGCCTCCAAAGCAATACAGAGAAACCCTGTCTCAAAAAACAAAAACAAACAAACAAAAAAGAATCCAGTTAAGAAGCCTAGCTCCCATGGATCTTTCTTGGGTCCATGGACCTTCCTGATCTCAACTGGAGAGTGACAAGGTTCTAGTTCACACACCATACTCTGGGGTCAAAGGGAGGTATGTTTGTGACAGTGATGAGAGGAAAGTCTTTGAAACAAGACAAGAGGGGCTGGAGAGATGGCTCAGAGGTTAAGAGCACTGACTGTTCTTCCAAAGGTCCTGAGTTCAATTCCCAGCAACCACATGGTGGTTCACAACCATCTACAATTCAATCAGGTGCCCTCTTCTGGCATGTAGGCAAAATACTGTATATGTAATAAATAAATAAATCTTTAAAAAAAAAGAAACAAGACAAGAATGGTCTGAGCCTCTGGCCATCATTGATAAAGTGGATGTAGCGAGGCCTACCCCTCAAGGTTACTGGGGGAATAAACTACAGGACATAGAGGGAATGCTGATGTTTCCCAAATTCCCTTTGAGGACAGAAACACCACACTGGGTTGTTTCACAGGTGACATTCTCTGCAGCCCATTCCAAATGGCCAAGTATGAGATGGTTTTAGGACAAGAAACTGATGTGTCCCCCCTTCTTAACCCTAGTTTCTTTTCCATCTCATGATCCACAAATATCTCACTTCCCTTAGTCTTGAGCTGTTCAGCTCCCTGAGAAAGCCCCTTACTTTGACTAAAGACTTATTGCAGTCTCCTCCTATTAGGGCCTAGGCTGTGTGCTAGGTTCATTTATTTATATAACAAGCAGGGTCCTATGTTTGTTACCTTCTCTTAACCAAGAAGAGACCCTAAAAGACTTTATAATCCATGGGGTCTCCAAATCCGAGATCTCTGCCCACCATAGCTTTGTGGGCCAGGGAAGTTACTTGGATAAGGTCACATACCCAGGAGCAGTAGACAGAGACTGTGTTTCATAGGGCTAGACCACCAACAGAAACACATTACTGCCTTCAGAAAGGAGACCAACTCATACACTACTCACCAGATGGTGGGACAGTTGCCTTTGGGGGATGAGGGATAAGAAATAACCTGAGATGTTAGTGGCATTATTAATGGGGCAAAGGTCTTTCTTGAGTGAACAAGTCTGTGGTGGTTATGCTTTGACAATTTGGTTTCATGGAGCAGTGTTAGGGTGAGCCCAGTTGTTGAGAGATATTTATACTGTGTAAAGATGTGTCACTGTGATTGGTTTAAGAAAAAGCTAAATGGCCAATAGCTATGTAGGGATATAAGTGAGACTTTTGGGACTTTTGGGCAGAACACCGTTGATAGTGTGCCATGTCTGTTTCAAAGGCAGCTCCATGGGTGGACACTTGCCCAACATATGCTCAGTGGGGCTCCCAGGCCTGGACTTGGTGTTACAATTGCCAGGAGGACAGCCTTGTAACCCAGGGCATGGTACCCAGCCAGAGCTCAACAGGCTGAGGAGAGAACAAAACAGAACCTGGGTAGAAAGTGAAGACTTCGGGCTAAGGCCAGTGGCCATGCTGTCTGTCTCTACATCTTACAGAACTCCTACAGGTGGGTGCTATCACCTAACTCTTGCTACAGACAGGACATAGCCCTCAGGGTGCCAAGTGCAGAGAGCGGTAGGTCCTGGGCTATTCAGTCTTTCTCTCATTTCACACAGGGCACGTACAGCCAATCTTTCTTCATAGTGCGCTGATCTCAAGCCTAGACCTCACTCCTCCCTACTCTCTGACCCTCCCGCAGTGCCCAATGACCTCTTTGTGGGGGCAACACTGAATCTTTGTGGGGACACTGGAGAATAATGCCGGCACAGCAGGGAAGACAGGAGCATTTGGTTTCCTTTTGGCTCCTGAGACATCTGTAAGGTAGGTATTCCTTAGTGCTATCTTCAAGTCTTGCCTCCACAGCTCTGTAATTTGGGGGCTCAGTTGTGACCCCTTTGGGAGCCACAACATATCAGACATTTACAGTACAATTCATAACAGCAGCAATGTTACAGTTATGAAGTAACAAAGAAATAATTTCATGGCTGGGGGGTCACCACCACATGAGAAACTGTATTAAAGGGTCACAGCATTAGGAAGGTTGAGAACCTGTTGTAGGAGAAAGAACCTGAACTCTGCTCTTATCTAGTCCAATCTTTAGGATACATAAAGGGGCAAATATTCTGGGCAGCCTTGAGACAGCTTCCTCTCTTCTGTCTCTGAGAATGCATTGTGGGCCACTCATTGTGGGCCACTCCACCCATTTCCCATGTGAAGCCAGAGAGGAACTGGCAGACCTGGGGTCTCGCTGGTCTCCTCTCTCTCATCTCACCCGGCCTTTGGCTCCTGCTTGACAATGAGAGGTGGCAAGGAAATGTGGAAACAGGAGATGACACAGCAAAGGTGTCCAGAATCAGCATCTTCCCAGCTTTGTCCTGACAGACTGAGGTTGCCATGGCACCCCAGGCCCTGCCTCATCCTCCCTGACCAAACCCTGCTGCTTCTTCCAATAAAAGCTAAATTTACTCTTTTAACAAGTACAACGCTGTATTAAAACACAATGGAATGCCTGGGAAGGGAGAAAGTCATGCCACAAGGGCCGAAGCATGATGGCCGCTTAGCATGGCCTGCGTTGGAGGCCCCGTGAGCATGGCCTCGGCTTGGGAGGACAGGATACCAGAGTTCCACATCCTAGGGCAGATCCCCCAAGTCTGTCATGGGGCAATACACAAGCTCTTCTTTGTCCTAGGTGACCTCTAAGTACTTGTGGCTCAACTCTCGTGGGGCTGCTGCTTCCTGAAGACTCTGCTTTTCCTGGAGTCAGTCCTGCAAGGCAGATCTCTTCCCACCCACAGTTAGCTCAGAACTAGGAGGGGCAGGCACCATGCTTGCTTCTACCGCCTTTTTGCAGCCATCTTGCCCACTCCTCCTTGAGGAGCCTCAGCTCTCTGAGAAGCTCTACCCCACCAGGCCTTGTCCTGTCTGTCCTTAGCTCTGTCCACTGGTTTCCTGGCCATTCTCCTCTGTTCCTTGGGATGCAGGCTCTGTCACCAGCATCTCGGGGACTGCATGTGGATGAACATTGTCCAATCTTAGTTCCTTGATACTTCCCTGCTGGTCTTGGCCATGATCAGACACCTCCAAAGGGATGGCATGTTCTGTGTTCTGTGTGGAAATCATCTGTCCCTCAGTGTTTGGGCTCTCCTCCTACCCTTCTTCCCACTTGTAGCTGATGGCCATGCCTCAAACTTTCTGTCTCTCTACCATCCAAACAGAGGCCGGTGGTGCCTTCAACCCTCCATCTGATCCACTCTCTCACAGCCCTCTCCCTCACATGCAACTGACAGTCACCATCGTAGCACCCGCCACAAGATAGATGCCTATCAAACACCTACTCACTGCCTTAGTGATTGCATTAGAAAGAGTTAGGTATACTGATCGCTTTGTTGTTGTTTGTTTGTTTGGGTATATAGGCCAGGCTGACCTTGGACTCTGGATCCTTCTGCATCCTGAGTGCTGAGTTTACAAAAGAGCTCCCCAACATCTGGCCTCTTGACTAGTACTCGTAAGTTAAAAATTAGCATCATATGTATTCAGTACAAAAGCCTTAGACACAGACACAGACAGACAGACAGACAGACAGACAGACAGACAGACACACACACACACACACACACACACACACACTACAAAAAGAAAAAACTTAAAGGGGCTGGAGAGCTGGCTCAGCGGTTAAGAGTGCTTGTTGCTCTTGCACAGGATGCAAGTCCAGTTTCTAACATCCATGTCAGGTAGCAGACAACTGTATGTACTCCACGGGAGCCTGTGCCTCTGCCCTCTACAGGCGCCTGCCGTCCTGTGGTATACATATGCCCACACACATGTGCACACATAATTGAAAGTTACAAAGAGTGTTAAAAAACTTAAAAAGCTTCCAAAAGTTAACCATAGTTTCATCATTTATTAATAATTATTGCCCACAATTTGATATTTATATATGTTCTGCACATCGATATAGTCTTCCTTTACAGAAATGATGTTTTAGTAGGTACAGATTATGACTTTACAATTGGTGGTGAACATCTTCCTACATTTTTGGTGTTATACTTGACTTTGGCCAAAGGCTGATAAGGTAACACACCTTTGGGTAGTATGGATGATTTTAATTAAATTAACCTTTTACCCATGTTGAACATTTATCTTTACTTTTTTTTTTAAAAAAGTTTTCCTTAGTCATTATCCTTATACATAAATCCATGCATACATTATTTTTCCAGTGGTTGAATTCCTAAGTGGACTTATGGGTCAGAATATGTATATCTTTTTTTTTCAGAATATGTATATTTTAAAGCTTTGATTTATATTATTAAATTACAAGAGACAATTTGCTTTTAAAACCAAATAAATACAAACATAATTTCCAACTTTGCCAAGCATAGTAAATTCTTTCCCAAAGGCTCTAAGAGGACCCCTCCATGTCCTCATGGCTCTTTCCACCTTCTCCTACACAGACACAGACACAGACACACACACACACACACACACACACACACACACACACACACACGCATGCACGCACACACGCATGCACGCATGCACCCCTACCCTCATGGTTCTTACTACCCTCTCCTTCAGAGCTTTGCCTGTTTCCTTACCAGAGAGGCCTTAGTGGCCCTCTCCTGCAAAATAATCCTTCTCTCTTGACCCTTTACATCTGTCCTAGGTACACTCAGCAACCCAGGTGAATTTTGTATTTGCTTCTGTAGATCCCTTCCCAAATCCACCAGAGTGGGGTCTTGGTTTTCCTCAGAGCCTTTGCTGGCAACACAAGGGTGAAGAAAACATTCCACAGAGGATGTCTGTGTTTACTAGCTGCTTTTCTATTGCAGGGTCTGAATCACCTGGCATGGGCGACTTAAAGAAGGGAAGACTGATTTGACTCACAGTTTCAAAGGGTGCAGTCCATCATGGCAGGGAAGGCATGGTAAAGCAGTCGGGTCCACATGCTGGTGGGCCCGGAGTGGAGACAGCAAAAGGAAATGCTCAGGGATACTGTATCCCCAGGACACACCCCTGGATACCCACTTCCTTCAGAGAGGTCCTCTCATCTTCCCAAATCTCCAAAACCTCCAAGGGGGTCCAAGTATTCAAAAAGGAGTTGTTGGGAAACACTTCACTTTGAAACCATAACTCTGAGTATTGCTGCTTCTAACTATGCCGGTGATATGCAAGGCTCTGTAGAAGCTATTTTAAGTAGCAGAGGCAAGATATTGGTGTTAGATCCTCTAGCTGGCTTCTTTTGCTTCCCAAATCCCCCGCCCCCGCCCCCAGTCTTTCAAGGCCAGCTACAGAGAGCTGCTATGACCTTGCAATTCTGAATCCCCTCCCTCCCCTTTGCAGCTGTGAGCAAAGCCCAGCTCTCGCTGATGTTCAGGCTTAAGACAACCTTGAATTGTATCTAGGGTCTTCCTGGTCTATGACTTCTACTATGTAGGCCAGATAACAGGAATCCTTCCCCATCTTCTTCTAGAGACCTGTAAGAACCAGAGCCCCACTTTGTCTTGCAGAACCGAAGTCATCACTCGTGCTGGGGTTTTGTTGTTGTTGTTGTGTGTGTGTGTGTGTGTGTGTGTGTGTGTGTGTGTGTGTGTGTGTGTGTAATTCAGCTTCCTTTGAACCATTCGTGTTCCTTTAAGTAACCCAATAAATTAATAAAAGTTCACCAGGCTGGACCTGGGTGTGACATTTCTTTGGTCTGTTTTCCAGAACCTTATTTGTGGTGAAAAGATGTTTGCTTGTGTCTTTCCAGGAAAAACCATACAACATCCACGGGGGGGGGTGTGTGTCTTGGCTTAGCTAAGGAGGGCCTAAAAGAGAGAGCAGAGAGAATTCTATGGTAGAGAGACAAGGAGAGCCTGCTTCTCCTGAGTCTAATATTGTCTCTTCACCATCCTTTAAGCAGTGTCTGGTATCTGGAACACACACTTGTTGAATCCATATGATGACACTTTCTTAAAGATGACAGAACTGGTTCAGAGGAGCCCATGGTTTAGCCCAGGAAGCAGGTGCAGGATTCTGCCAAGCTATAGTCTGGAGCCCATTCTCGTGCCCTGTCTGATTCACTACGGAGCTGCAAGAGTAGCATATTTAGTACCTGAAACTCCCGGGCTCTTTAGCTTTTATGTAATACAATGTCATAATACAACACATTTTTTATTATATAGGGTTCATCATTGCCTATAGCATACACACCCATTATGCTGTAAGGGCTATATAGGGTAAGTTTAGGAGTTTTTCTAATGTGACTATACATTTATGTCCGTATTTTTCGCTGCTTTCCAGTACTTTATATTTTATGTTACCCTGCTTTCCAGTTTCCTAATCCCCATTTAGCTTCATCTAATCTGCTGAATAACCTACCACTATATTATGACTCTGTTTTCATTTCTTCAGTTCAATTTGGTAACTTTGAAGGGTTTCAGTTCCTTTACTTTTACTTATTTATTTTTTAAGACAAAGTTTCTCTGTGTAGCCCTGGTTGTCCTGAAATTTTCTCTGTAGACCAGGCTGGCCTTGAGCTCACAGATCTGCTTTCCTTTGCCTCCTGAATGCTGGGGTTAAAGGTATGTATACTACTATGCCTGGCTGGTTTCCAGTTCTTTTAAAATTATATATCTTCTATATCCTCTTAACATATGAATCACAATTATTGTAAAGTCTACCATTTTAAACACCAATATTTGGATATGCCAAGTATCAAATATCTGTTGCTATTTTTTTTCCTTTTTTTTGTTTTTGCTTACTGGTAACACTCATATAGTCTTGTTGCCTGATTTACCTGGTACATTTTACTGACATACTTGAGATCCTGGAAGATGCAGAGGTTTACTGCTCTTGTTTCTCCTGGAAGGGAGGAAAAGGGAGGTCAGTTCATTTGAATCCAACGGGAGAGATCTTTGTAAAGGATGATCTATTTTTAATTTGTAGTTTTTTTCAAGATAGTTTCATGTAGCTCAGGCTGACTTAACTTACTATGTAGCAAAGATGACCTTAAGCATCTAATCCTCTTTCTTCTTTCTTTGCAGATATTTGAAGGATTCCTTCTCCTAATTGCCTTTCTCTCTTCCTTCCTTCCTTCCTTTCCTCCCTCCCTACTTCCCTCCCTCATTTCTTTCTTTTCTTCCTTCCGTCTTTCTCTCCTTCCTTCCTTCTTTCCTCCCTCCCTCCCTTCTTCCTTCCTCCTCCCTTGTTTCTTTCTTTCTTTCTCTCCTTCCTTCCTTCCTCCTTTCTTTCTTTCTCTCCTTCCTCCCCCCTTCCTCCCTCCCTCTCTCTCCCTGTCTCTTTTTGGTTTGTTGTTTCAGTTTGATCATTCACGGCATTGCTCTCAGCCCTGACTGAAGCCTCCTCCTACCCTGTGTCTCTTCTTGCTCATCATCTAAGCTTGACTGCTGTCTAAATGATGCCCATGGCTTGGAGGCTGCTTGTAGACGGACTTCTCCTCCAGGTTCAAGGGCCAGGTGGGTCAGCTCAGTAGCATTCAGGTTACGCAAAGTCTCTGACATCATAGAGAGGCCAGGCCTGCTGCTTCCTTCCTTTCCACTGTTTCTGAATGGTCAGAGCTATACCCCTTGTGCGCTGTGTGCTTAGCATAGCTTGTCTCATTTCTCACAGAAACAGAAGCAATGATGAAACGACCTTCATGTATGTGTGCAGAAGCCAGAGTCTTAGGGGTTTGGTTAGACTCTGTCTACCTCACAGAAACACAAATGCATTTGTTTCTTTGTTATGTTTCTGGCAACACAAAGGCAGAGAACATGTCTGTGTGCATTCCATGCACTAGTCATATACCCAGTGTAACCTAATGTGTGTCAGGATGCAGGCAATAGCAACACTGATTAAAGAAAGCCTCAGGTCCCAGAGATGCTTATGGTTGAAAGTCAGACTACAAGGATTCACTTGGAGCCCTCTGCTTGGCACCAGCACTATCAGCACCTTGCAGGCAGGGAGGGGACACATTCACTCCTCAAGTTATTTAGCTTCTCTTGCAAGGAGGGAGGGGACACATTCACTCCTCAAGTTATTTAGTTTCTCTTTTGGTGCAAGAGAATCTAACCAGGAGCCTTGTGCTAGGTGAGTGCCTCGGTGGTTCCTTGTGGGGCCTGCCTGCCTGCCTGCCTGCCTGCCTCTCTCTCTCTCTCTCTCTCTCTCTCTCTCTCTCTCTCTCTCTCTCTCTCTCTCTCTCTCTCTCTCTCTCTCTCCCTCCTACCTACCATCTACATGTATCATCTATCTATCTATCTATCTATCTATCTATCTATCTATCTATCTATCTATCTATCTGCAGACAGTATTACCATGTAGCCCAGGTTGGCCTCTAGCTCTCCATCCTCCTGTCTGTCTGCTTCCTGAGATTAGAGGCAGGTGCTTCCATCTTGTTTTCAATAAACTGAGTTCTGGATCATCTGTGGTGTGGGATGGGGACTTCCAGGCAATTTCAGGCTACCTTGGTGCCAGTGGCCCTGGGGCATTTCCTGGGGCCTGGGGCCCCACAATGAACTGAGGGATGGACTCGGGAAGCTTCTAAGATCAGAGGAGAGATCTTCAAGTGTGGAAACATTTCCTTAGAAAAAGGTCCCATGCGCTCTCCTCAGACTCTCCAAAGACAAAGCCTTGCTGACTGTTCATCAGCCTTGCCCTGCCGTGCACCAGTTCACCGACCGCTGGGGAACTGTAAGGAGGACTCGCCTTGCATGGCCTGAGCATGGATGGGGCCAGTGCCCAGAGTGCTCCAAGAATTCCCTACAGAGCTTCAATGCTGAGGTGGCTGCCACTCACCAGAGGGCTTTCTGGTGGCCCTCTCAGATGCTCATAGGAAAGCCATGTTATGAGCTGAGTGGCATATCTGTGAGTCTCCTGCTTCTGAGACCACCAAGTGAGGCCTGGGGGTGGCAGGTGAACCCGTGGCAGTTCTCAGGCTCCTCCACCACTGTGATAGGACAGACGAGCGAAGGAGCCTCGGGTCCCTCCAAAAGGTGAGAGGTTATGGGGACCTTCTCCTGCCCAGCCTGCCCCAGGTCCCTCTGCGTCTGGGGTCTGTGGGAGAGGCTCTGACAGTTCAGGACCAGCATGAACACCCCCCCAAAACAGACCAGCAGCAAAAGACATTTATTCATGAACATTGTTCCAAAGTTCAAAGTTCATGAACATTGCTTCCATGAACTTACCATTTCTGCCCCATAAAATTCCCACAGTTATCTTTGTTTCTTAGACACACCCTCAAACAGCCATTCTTCCTCTCTCACACACAGAATTCTCCCTCACACAGAGAATTCTCTCTCACACACATGGAATTATCTCTCACTCAGAAGTCCATATCACACAGAATTCTCTCTCATACAGAATTCTTTCTCACACAAAAGTTTCATTCTCTTTCACACACAGAATTCTCTCTCACACCAGAATTCTCACACACATAATTCTGTCTCACACACAGAACTCTCCTCTCTCTCTCTCTCTCTCCCTCTCTCTCTCTCTCTCTCTCACACACACATACACACACACACACACACACACATACACACACAGAATTCTCTCTCACACACAGAATTCTGTCCCACACATTTTTCCCCTTGTTCTTTTAGGTGCTTAAACCTATTCCTGCCTGGCCTAGGAACTGGAGATCTGGAGCCTGACTCAGTGTCTGTCTCAGGATTCTGAGAAGACCAGCAGCTTCTTAGCTTAGGCATTCTCAGTATGGTTCCCTAGTGGTCAGCCTGGACAGTCAGCCCTGACAAGGTCATTTCCTACACAGGGCATTGTAGATCTTGCTGGCTTCATTCATTATGACTGACCCAGTCTGAGGCTACTACCAAGGATGTAACTGTGGGTTCCACCCCATTGTGGGGAATTCCCAGGAAGGTAGGACACTTGTTCCAGGGCCCCCGAGGAAGGGTCAAGGACAACTCTAGCATAGGTGTTGATTTTGAGGGGAGGTGTTGCCAGAACCAGGAAGATGGGATGTATCACAGAGAAGGACAGAATGAAGATTCCATCCTAATGACAGACAAAGTATTTTGAGAAAATCAGGAACCAGGAGGAACTTGGTCTAGACTGTACCGCCTCGGACTCCTGCCCCCAGGCCAGCTTACCATAAGGAGTCACTCCTCTCTGTTCTGTAAAATGTTCTCCCCTGCCCCTCTCTTCTCAAGACCTATGAGCAGTTCAAGGAGGAGAAAATAGACAACCAAAGCCAAGACGGCCTCCGCCTGGGTATGCATTGTAAACCCTCCAACACCATGCCAAGTGTTGCCCTACTCCACTATGGCTCCTGGGGAGGGTGGCAGAGCACTGTTCCTGGAAGATACAGGCTAGGACATCTCTGAAAATCTCTAACGTCCTCTGAGCTGAGTTTCCCCAGTTGTGGCCCCAGAGACAGTGACATTACTAGACACCGGAACTTTGGACCTTAGACTTTGCCAGTTAGCCAAGGTTAATCAGACAATTGTGGCCAGGGCATGGGTGGAAGTAGTTTAAAACTCCCTGATGTTTCTGGCATTTAACATGCAGGACCAACCCACCAGAGGAGCTTGCTGGCCTGGCTTTAACCCCTTGGTTACTGGAAGTGGGCAGTTGTGATGATTGGGAATGTGGTCAGGTTGAGACAGTGACTATTTAGTAACTCTTCCTGAAGAATCCCAGAGTCTGGTGACAGGCACACAGTGGCTAACAAGACACAGCAATGGC